GGGTTCCTCAACCTTGGCAGCTTTAAGACAGGTGGACTTCAACTCCCAGAATTCCCCAGCCTGTCAGCCTTGCAGAAGTCCTGAAGCAGAGTTTGGAGTCTATTGGGGAGTGGATGGGGAGAAACAAGCTTAGATGAAATCCTCCCAAGATGGAACTGATGATATTGTCTGTCAGGGTGATTTGATAACATAAGTCCCAGTAGCTTCCCTGGATGGGGTGGTTGGTGACTTGGGGCCACTCTGGACTTGCGCTGCCTGCTTTAACAACAGGTGATAGTTGTGTCTAAGCAATTACAGCCTTGCCGCCTACCCAGATCAAGATGCCCTGGCAACGGTAACCCGCACCCTGCTCACTACTCAACTGGACTACTGCAGTGTACTGTACATGGGGCTGGCTTACGTAGAGGAAGACAGAGATAACCATTGTCAAAGGAATGCAAAAACTATTCGCAGGTAAAAGAAATAGCGAATATATTCTGAGTCCTGGGAAATGTGGGACTATGAGAAAAAGCCTCAACTCTGCCTTGACTCTGCATGGCATAAGGGGGCAGAGGGAAACTCTAGCCGCCTTTCAGGAGTTCCAAAAGTCTTTGTGGGGTCTATTTCCTGACCTGTCCTATTTCAAAGGGCTGACCGCTCATCTCGTCTGCACATCCAGAGAGGACCCCTTTCAGAGGTCTGAGGGTATGAGCCCCAGGAAAGGCCTTTTCAGTGGTAGCCCCTACACTTTGGAATAATTTCTCCCAGGTTACTTGAGGGACTGTCTGGCTCGTGTGGTATCAGCCTGGCACATCCCGGCTCCCCTTAATTAAAACATGTCAAGAGAACCCTCTCTTTGCGCCACCTGCCCTCTGGAGATTCCCCCTGATATCCATGTGGCTCCCACCCTGCCACCATCCTGGAAAGCCCTCCTGCCTGGCTGTCCTCCAGGCCGTGGGATTGTGCGTGGATGTGGCTGACCAGATCGACCATTGGTACTTGTTGTTTATCCTTTTCTAATTACTGTATTCTGTTTTTATGCTGTCACTTTTATTGTACGCTGTCCAGAGTCGGTTGAGGTTGTGCATTGCCTAAATTAACTAAATTAAATTAAGTTTGGCTCCAACCCTCCTTGCATTTCACAAATCCCTGAAGGCTGAACTATTTAATATGCCTTTGACCTTGGATTCTTTAGTCTGTTTTGTTATTATTTGATGTTACTTATATTGTATCTTGTAGTGGGTATATTTTTGTTTCGTTGTACACTACCAAGAGTTGATGTGATTGGGGCAGTTTATAAATATTATCAATAACAATAAGATAAATAGTATCCCCAGAACAAAAACAACCTTTGATTGGTTCAAAGCCACTCAAAGTTTCTGTGCCTGAACCTGGGTCTCTTAACTATTTATAATTACCAATTAAAATATTTGTACAATGAATAGTAACCATGCAGGATCCCGCATTAGGAAAGTTCTAAGCAAAAAAATTGCGTTTTCAACATTTTAGTAGCTGAAAATATATTTAGTTACAGATGAGATTATGCAAGCAACACAATGTGTTTCCTCATAATAGAAATGCAAAAGTCTGGTTTGTGGGAAATATGAAACCAACATATCCCATTCTTATCCATTTACCTTAAAATACTTAGTTTTGCATTGCCTTTCTGAATCTTTGCTTAGCGCGTCTCCCTCTTTTTTCTGCCTAGAAAAGCTCAGCAAGAGCCTCAGGGCTGCTGGCTGTTCCAGCGCTTGTGTTATGGCCTGTTCTTTCCCAGGAGAGAGAATCTGCAGAAACATCCTACTCTGCTGTAGAGCCACCAATACACCCAGAGTGGGAGGAAACAGGGCCACGGGTTCAGATACTGCCTCTGCCAGGGACTTCTAACGGTTCTTAGAAGAGGCCACTCTTTTTAGCTTTGTTTTGTATAATACTGATCTACCCAACAAGGTTGTTGTAAAATTAAGGTGAGGAGTGGAAAATGGGCTGTAATTGGACTAAATGTAGGTCAGCTCTAATGGGCTGCTATAATGGTCAATTATATTGGACATTATTCAACCTGATGATGGAGGTGGCAATGAGTTAGTAATTCTGAACGGTCTCTTGGTGTGTCATGGGCTGCATTTGCCCTAAGGAAAGGTGAGGGGCCGCCAGCAAGCGCAGCCTTGAAGAGCAGGAGGTGTGAATGTTGCAGGAGGAACAAGTCTCCTCTCATCCAAAGGCAACCTTGGAGCAATAAGGTGTGCACCCAAACAGATGGTGCCGCGCTTGCCACCTTCTTTCTTCCAACGTGGTAGGTCCTTTTACCGTCTTTACGGTATGGATTTTTGTGAGAATTTTAAAGGAGGATAAAAGGACCTGCTCCGCAAACCTTTCCAGATATTGCCATTTTGCTCTGCTCTCTCTCTCAATGAAGTGCCACTAATGTATTCTTAACAAACATCCAGAGAAACGTAGCCCAGACTTCTGTTGCTACGGGACTTGCTCTGTTGGCTGAAACTAATTTCTTTCTGAGAATTAAATATTCAGTGTAACTTAGTTTAACCTTTTCAATTCAGCCATAGTCAGGCAATTTATGTTATTGCCAGGGTCAATAAGAAACGTAATTGATAGGATTATGTTCGAATAAAGCAATTTGATTTGGGGCTTTTTTAAACAGGAGGCTGAAGCTCCTTACACATGAAACTTACAGCATTATGCCTTTCCTTTCCTATCTGTAAAATGAGATTGGTTATTTCTTTCCCTGGCTGCAAAGTTTACGAGGAAATCTGGACTATAATTGTGTTGATATAAAGTTGATGAAATCCATTATAAAGCATTGACATAATGAACAAATCCAGTGCAACATTTAGGAGCTGTTGGAAAGACTATGAAGGTTTGCATCATAGCTATAGGCAAATAATTTTATACAAAGTGTAACTCTGGACCAAACTTTGTACGTTAGTAATGGGATACAAAGTTGTTTTATTTAGAAGCAACATAGAAGGAACCATTCATTGTTTATCTTGGGACACAACGAAAGGCAGTATTTGGCTCTTAATAATTTAATGAAAGCAATCATTGTGTTGGGGACAAATCTGTGCACTCAGTTGCCTTTTGTGAAATTGCAGGTTTGCCTATAGCCAGGCTCTCAGTTTAGACAACAGTTATCAAAGTCACTTCAGGCAATATTCCTTGTACATTTGAAGTACAAGGAAGAAGGTTCAGTTTAGTTTGGTTAAGGATTCAGTTGGTCAAAGGGTGCTGATTACCTGATTATTTTTTTAAGGCAGCAGTTTTTCTTGCTTTCCAATAACAAAATCTAATGTGGCTGAGGATGCAAAAGCTAAGTTGGAAAGTTCAAAGTGCTGGTTGCAGTCAGAACAATAACTCTGTAATCAAGTATTATTATCCCCCCTCCTGCAAGCTTGGAGTAGCTTGAGGCCACGTGATCAATTTGTGTACTAAATGTCCTGTCAGTTGTCCCTCTGTGGAAATTGAAGCTGGTTAATTGAGGCTCACTGTCACTGACTCTCAGCTAGAAGGAGCATAAAACTGAAAGAGAAAGTGCTCTCTGTCTCACTTCAAACTCCTGGTGGAAATGCACAATATAACATTTATAACAAGATGAAATAATTTCTTTATTCGTGCCTTGAGATCTTCCAGCTGGAGCTGAGTGCAAAAGCATATAGTTAGAATTAAAAGATTCTCAGCCTACAATTTCATTTTAAATGTCTACATTAAATGGAGGCTACACAGAGACCCAGTCCTACTCTTTGAACAACTAGGAGTCAGAAATCTTCACTGATTGAGTGGAAATCCCCAGTGGTTACCTTCTGACCATCTCGGCATGGACTGTCTGAGTTTTGCATTTAGTAACCCCACAGCATTTGTTCCCTCCTTCCCCTTCGGTTGTTGGGAGTCAGATGGCATCCAGGTTTGTTTGTTTGTTATTCATTGCACCATTCTCTAATTTGCCTCCTTTCCTCTCTAGCCTCTCCTAACTGCAAGCATTTGGGGGGGAAGGGGGTAGGTGATCCTTTGGAAAATCTTCCACCTACACCTGTGTCAGTATCACCAGGGACTGGAAAGCGTCTAAGGGGAAAAATAGTCAAAGTCCTTAGGTACACAGATGTGTATGTTTGTATGCTAATAGCAGCCACAGCAGCAAAGGCTTTGTTCAGATAGCTCAAATACTACTGCAAAGGTATTTCCAGACATCCAGGAGGCTTCTGTGATGCAATATTTTAGTACTGTATTGATGCTTTGGTTAAGGCATCAATGGGGGTTTTTTCCTGAAAGGACAGAGAGCGAAGCAAAGCGAAGCTGGCCACCTCCGTGGACCGGTCCCTTCAGTGGAGCTGATGGGGAACTGAAGTCGCTTCTGCCCCAGTCCCTAATGAGTCTGCCTCGGCTGACTTTGCACCCGCTTGCGTGCTGTTCCAGCCAGTTTGTAACCATCATCGATGAAGCCTGCAGGCTAACATGTGCATCCAGCTGTTCTCCAGGTCAATAAAGCCACTGCACTCTGCCAGTGAGAGGTGGGGAATCAGTCTCTGTTGGCCACAAATCCTGGGAGTGGCAAAGGCCATAGCAGCTGCGTTCCTGGCTTGGCCTGGGACTCAAACTAGGAAAATTGAGGCCTGTAGAACTGCAGGGAAAGTACAGACAGAAATATCAGAAATACTCATTTCTTTCAGTGCTGCTTTACTCTGTTTATGTAAGTTTTCTGTTATGTACATTTTCAGACCCCCATTTCTTTGTCTGTTTCACTGATTAATGATTCTTATATGTAGATCTAGGCCTCCTAGAAATTGATATTATTCTTATTATGTTCTGTTTATTCAAAAATGTGTTTAGTAAAATAGCAATCTGTTACTAGTTAGTCCAGCATGGGGTTTGTCCTCGCAGCACGCCTCCCACACCTGCTTGGGTCTGGTCTCCCTGGTTGAAGCAGGAAGCACCCACCAGTTTCTGATGGCCTCAGAGGAGGGGGATTTCTCCCCATCGGGATTTCAGGGGAAAAAGGGGAAGGGCCTTTTCTCTTCCAAGGAGTTAGGCGGTACCAATTTAACTTTGTGACCTACTTGGACATCTTTCATGTGAGGAAGCAGCTGTACCCAGACACCTTGGAAGTCAGGTAGATGTCCTGGTGGGCTTTTATTATGTGTTTGTGACAGACCTTGGCTAAAGTGACACGCATAGCTGAGGCATATTGTCAGGCAGCTGGGAAATTACCCATCTTTGTCCATAAGTTCTTGTCAGAAGGCAGCAGGTTTGGGAGCAAGTGACAGTTCTGATGGCCTTGCCAGGGATTGCCCTATCCCCAGTGCCCAACTTTGCTTTAGAGTTTTGTCTAACCTTCTTCCCACTGCTTTGGGGCGGGCATAAGAGTGGTAGGCCACGTCTTTGAAACCAGCTAACTCTGAAAAGAGAGCTGGACGTTGAAAATGGCGAAGGTACAAGAAGCAGGTGTTTAATGGAATAGCTGACAGAAATGTAACACCTTTGAATTTCAGTTCATCCAGGAATTTATGGCTTATTCATTAAGGATCAGCTGTCACCCTTATTTATGCCCTCCATAAACATTCTGCACTCCATGATCTTTCTTCCAATATACTGTATATGGTCTGGCAGAGTTTATAGCCTGAGGTAGTAAAATAAGTAATGGAACTGTTAGATGTAAAAGGTGAAGAATGTCTTTTTCTTTTTACATCAATTTGTTTGCTTTGTTGTGTAAATTTGTGAGACTTTCCCCACCTAATGTGTGATTCAGAAAGTAGAATCTTTTTGAGACTTTATAAAAGCTTTCAAACTTTGTTAAAATTGTTATATTCCCCTCTTGTTCATTCACTCAGGCAGGTATCTTTTTTTGGAAACTTTGGTGGAATGAGCTTAATATTAATGTGAAATTATTTGAGATTCATGTGGCGCTCTAGGCAGTGGCTGAACTAATATTCAGGAAGTCCCAAGTTCAAATCTTAGACCCCCCTCCCACCCATTTCTGCAATGCAAAGAATGATCATCCAAGTGTTCACCTAACTAAGACGCTTCTTAAGCTTAATTTTTGAGAGGATTAGGAAAAGCGGGAAGTATTTTTTAGGGGTATGTGTAAATGCAGGTTGCCCATTAACTGGCCTATTTCTCCAAAAAAAAAAAAAAATCTCAAAAGTTATAGTAAAATTAAAGCAATCTTTGTCTGACAGCAAAAGAATAACAGTGCCAATGATGAGGCTTAAAAGTCAAGAGCGTAATTTATTTTGGCATGATTCGTTACTGGCTCACTAAGCAATTTAATTGCTTCTTATTAGTTTTTGCTGTGACTTGAATAAGACCATTGGAGTAGAAGGAATCTCTTGAAGTTGTCATGGCAAAATGAGAGCAGTTTCCAGAAATGAGGAATACCCCACCCACCAGTTCCCCATCTATAAGCTCTGATCTCACCTCAGATATAAACTCACTGGCAGCTCACAGCGCACTTTTTAACCATGTGCTCCTACTTCAGAGAAATCCACCATGAATGTGGTTTCCACACAAATGATTTGATGTGTTGAGTGAAAGCCATTGCAGTGTGCAGGAGATAATTCACAAAATACACAGTCCCAAAATATTTCGGAAATAAGATTAAGGTTTTGCATATGTTTCATAGAATCCTAGAGTTGGAGGAGACCTTAGAGTCATCTGGTTTATCCCTCTGTGCAGGGCACGTTCCACTAGAGTGTCTCTGACAGATAACCTTTGAGCCTCTGAAGACGAAGAATGAGAATGAGAACCTATCACTTCATTTGGGAGCTGGTAGAGTCAGGAAGTTATTTTGCAAAGACTGAACCTCCTTCTTTGCAAATTTAACCCATTGATTCTAGTCCTGCCCACTGGGCAATAGAGAACAAGTCTGCTCCTTCTTGTGTGATAATCCTTCAGATATTTGAAAACAATCATGTTTCCCCTCAGTAATTTCTTCTGTAGGTTAAACATACCCAGGTCCCAATAGAAGCAAACATCTCACAGAGAGGAGCTAATATTCTATCAACTCCTCACTACAATGCCTCCAGAAAATCAAAGATGTACACATAGATGAAGATAAAATTATGGTCTCATTTTATGTCACAGCACTCCTTACGTCCATAAACCCAGAACTAACGAAAGAATCCATATCATCAGTAGTACGCAACACACCCGATCTAACCAGATACACCCAGATCGAAATACCCAGAATCATGAACCTCATCAACCTCTGCCTCACCACCTATTTTCAGTTTGATGGACAAATATACCAACAAATGATACACCCAGATCGAAATACCCAGAATCATGAACCTCATCAACCTCTGCCTCACCACCTATTTTCAGTTTGATGGACAAATATACCAACAAATCAGAGGCACACCCATGGGATCACCGCTGTCAGGACTCATAGCAGAGTTTGTAATGCAATGCCTAGAAGCTATAGCACTTCCCCACATACAACCTAAACTATGGATCCGGTATGAAGATGACACCTTCATTATAATAAAAAAGGAACAACTAGAGAAGGCACATGAAACCATCAACAACATCTTCAAAGAAATAAAATTCACCAGAGAGGAAGAAAACAACAACACGCTACCCTTCCTCAATATCCTCATCAGCAGAGGAAACAACAGCAAATTAGAAACCCAAGTCTATAGGAAGACAACGCACACTAACCAAGTACTCCATTACCAAAGTAACAACCCAACCTCCCACAAGAGAAGCTGTGTAAGAATATTATTCAAACAAGCACAAATGCACTGTAGCAACTCAGAACAGCAGAAA